CAACCTGCATAAATCAAAATGGCGGCTCGATTGTAGTCTTTATATTTTTGCTCGAGTTTTTTTACTTTTAGAGGCACGATAATGGCACTAAACATCGCCAATCATGGATGAATATAATGTCAAATGTAAGAATATACCAATCTGTGCCGAGGTATGCATGTGTTGATTTATTTGACTGATAAAAATGTCACTTTTAAGGGACATACTGATGATATGCGCTTTTTATAGAGGCAAGTGACAAATCCTGCGAGCTGATTTCGGGACACCGGGTCCCGACCGGTGCAAGGCCGTCGGGACCCGGTTTATGAAAATCCCGACATGACTCAGGCCTACCTTATTAAAGGACATTACCCAATGCCCTTCTTGCTCTCACTAGTTGAAGAGAAACTAGTTGTAATTCAGTAGTGTTTGTGATGGGTAAGTTGTAGGAACTTTTGTAAAACCAGAATATTATGAAGCATACAACTTTATTTGGAGTGTCATCTATAATTATAACTGATGTACAACAATACTTCTAGCCTTAGAAATATAGTCATTTTTTGACTAATCTAAGAACAATCAAACCTTATCAAAGCTACATGTACTCTCTAAAAAAAATCAAGTGATCACGGACGTCTCTCCTCTGGAGAGTGAAAATGTAGTGAAAATAGAGTGAACATTCACTCTTTTCTTCTTAGAGAGCACTCTAAAATCGATTTTCACTCCTAAACAAGTGATCACGGACGTCACTCCCAAGAAAGTGAAAATAAAGTGAAAAATTCACTCTTTTTTTTTAAGAGAGTACTCTGTACAAGGAGTTGTACATGTATATTGTAGATATTTCTAATGAAATTACGTTGTATGTTCCTGTGCACTGTTACTGAAAACATTTCTACATGCCAATGAGACTGGCAGTAGACCCCCCTCCCCCCCCCCAACAAAAACACACTAATGAATTACATGTCAATGTACCATGAGTGGCCAATATTGTGTTGTGTTATCGGTAAGTTTTGGCAGTGTGACTTGGTTATTAAATTAAATTAAATTCATATCATTTACTTCATTCTCGATTAAAAAATACAATCGGTATAAATATATTTCATACACAAAATTCGAAAAAGAAAAGACAATAAGGGGCAGTGTGAAGGGTGATTCTTGTGAATGGAGGAGCACCCAGCTACTAAAATTAGAAACACAGGTGGTGATCAGGAAGGCTTGAGGTTGCATTCATTCTAGCAATTTAGGTCTGTTCACACTAACAGAAAGACGTGCACAATCTATGTAGAAAACTATAAAGAATCACCATGTGAACAGAGGGGCGTGCACTTGTGAAGAAAGTATTTTTTTGAGAAACGTGGTACGAATAAGATACGATTTTCAGGGAGGTCATTTTACACCATCATGACAACATCAACAGTAACTAAAAAACAAAATAAATTCTTGTCTTGTGCGTACATGTACATGTACAAATCACATTGAGGTCCTATATTTCTAGTTACAGCTTTAATACTTCTTGGTATTGCAAGAGGATACAAGATGATCAATGCATGTTCATGATAAACCTGCCCAATCATATGATTTTTTTCATATGATGCAGTGTTTAGACTAGAAGTGGACCCTGATTCTTTACAGAGTTCAATCGAAAAGATTCTCAATTCTCCATTGTGGTAGATCACGTTTCATATTAGACGTTTTTCTTACACAACATTCAGACTTGAACAGAAATAATCAATTGTCATATAGCTATACCACTAAAGCTGCGCGAAGAATTTCAATAGTCTGAACTGGACAGGGGGTTGGACACTCCATCATCCCTACTGACCTCTGTGTGAAGGGAGCCTGGCTCCAGTCCATCGTATCCAATTAACAGAAACTAGGATTGATCGCGGCCGGGTATACCTCTGTAAATGCCAAACGATGCACTCATCATTCATTCATTACTTTTGTGGCGAAAACGGGGAGAAAACCCAATTTGCATGTTTGTCCGTCAATTTCTCGAAGAGGCCTCGTTCATTCGAAGTTTCCTATCTTGCTATGCATATACATGTACACTATACGAGTGAGGAATTGTTCGATTCAGGATAGCATATTGTTGATTATTTTATTCTCTGATTTCAAGAAAGTTTAGCTGTGATGCCTCATCTGCGGTGAGTTGGAAATTGATGATATAATAGTTTTTCATATGTCATCCACTGAGATGTCGAGGACATTAACCCTTACGAGTAATAGCACCGGATAGAGACATATTAAGCTTTTCGTCTTGCACTCAATTCTTCATAATCAACTGCAAGAGTATACAGGTAGCCACAGTGAAACAATATGAACGCTAACTGAAGGAACAAGCGTAATGAACAAATATGTCCGTTTCCGCTGCTTGCTATCCTTTTGTTGTGTTAAGAGAAGGTTGAGTTCTGGGAAGAGGTGAAAAATAATTTGTGAGCGTTATCATTTGTATTATGCAAGTGTGGAAGAACATCAGATAAGACTTGTTCCCTGAAAAGCATGGCTCTTTAAATGCCTTCATATTCTAAATATGTCATGTAACATCGTAAAACTCTGGGGTAGGATTTTTACGCCACGTGTTCGTGTAGTCCCATACACATCTTTCTGTGTACAGTGTTTGAAGATTACTCTCTTTTTACATGTAGAACACTAGAGCTCTTTTTACAATTCACTTAAGGTATTCGTGTGGCAAATTTTGTTGCTGTGCCGCTGCTACTTTTTCACGGAGCTCTTTTTGAGATATCCAGACCTCAATCGATCTCTACTTCCTGTATTAATTTCATTAAGAATCCCAGTGTAAATACTGTATGTTTGGAGCCATAAGGGCATGCATGAGAGTTGTTGCCCTTCTGGCTCCAAACAGACAATATTACTTTTAAGGAAAAAAAAATATTTAACATTTTTTTGGGCCAACTTTTCAAACTTGCTTGCATAAAAATAACACTCTTTATTTTATATTTGCATTGAACTCTATGCAATTTTTTTTGGGGGGGGCTCTGTTATGACTTTTGGGGGCTCTTTTTGGCATTTTGGGGGCTAATTCGCCCTGAGCCCCCGTGTAATTGTTTCCCTGTTACTTTTTTGTTCATGGAGGGTCTCTGTTTAGGCTGATGTAAGGACAACGATTTTCTCTGAGCAGTCTATTTTATTTCATTGGTATTTTTTAAATATTTTTTTTTACGAAGAGTTTTTTTTTATATTACCTGAGCTTATGTGAAGGGTTGGATACTCAAAATTGCTCACTGTTCTCATGAGCCATTTTTCACTTGCACGCTGGACTTTAGCTACAGTGTAGGTGACTGAAGCGGGATTTGTGTCACTTTGTGGTTTTTTGCTTTTAAACCGGGAGGATAATCGTAAAATTAGTCGGCCTCACTTTATTGAGAGAATGAATTTAGCGGAGCAGGAAGTATTCCATATCAAACACACAGCGGCCATATCCTGCCCTGCTAATATGATTACCACACTTGTGGTGCTTGTGTCAGAAAGGGGTAGCAATTGTCAAAGAAGATCAGCCAGCTGCCCTGACAGACTGCCCTCCGAGAACCACCAGAGGGCGCACCACTGTGCTTTTGTTTTGATATTTTATCTCCAGGTTGAGCGAGAAAGAAGGCTGCTCATATTAAGGTGATTGAAAATAGTTCATTTTAGTTCAGCTCATTTCTGTTAACTTCAGTTGAGTTGAGTTGAGTTGAGTTCAGTCGAGTTTAGATGATTTCAGTTGAATTTAGATGAGTTTAGTTGAGTTCAGTTGTGATCAGTTTAGTTCATTTTAGTTCAGTTGAGTTCAGTTGAGATCGGTTTAGTTCAGTTGAGTTCAGTTAAAATCAGTTTAGATCAGTTTAGTTCAGTTGAGATCAGTTAAGTTCAAATGAGTTCAGTTGACTTCAGTTGAGTTCAGTGCATTATAGTTCACTTCAGTTAAGTTAATTTTAGATCAGCTCCATTTAATCCTCTTCATTTCTAGGCCCATTCATATCAATGTCTGCATTCAGTTCAGTTGGGAGAACATCAGTAATATAAAAAAAGCGAAGATAATTACAGAGTTCAAATAGATGAATGAATTGGCACCGTTCTGGATCTATCCTTCACACACCTAATGCTGTCTGATGGATGTAGACTAGTCGCATCTCACTCATGCATGAGCAGTAGAGTGCAGTCATCAACACATTATACTCAATGAGGCAGGACACCAGAGGGAGATATTTACTAATGCCGCAGATAGCATATTTCGGACCACCTGCTTCCAATCATGGCAGACAAGTGGCGATCGTTTTCGCACCGGTTTTTTTAGCCGCGGAAGTGTGCGGGCTGCGGAACAAATGCAATTTCCTGATCGTCTACATTTGTGCGAATGCGATGCAAATGTCTTGAGAGAGAAATCCTAATGTTTGAGAAGCATCTTTGAATGGGGGGGGGGGGGGGGGGGAGGGGAGTGAGAAGAAGAGGAAGAAAATGAGGGACAGAAAGTGAAAGTGAGGACAAGAGAGACAAACAACTAGGAGAGGAAGAGAGAGAGAGAGAGAGAGCAAGTGAGAGAAAAACAAAGAAGAGAAGAGAGCAACATATGGAGAGTGAGAACAAATGTTCTATTGGTTATTGTTACAATTTTTTTCCAGCTTGTTGAACCTGGACAGCAAAATCAATTTCTACTACTACATGTCTTCTACTGCTTTTATCTATCTTTTTTTCCAGAGTTTTGTTAAAAACATTTAGTTTGTTATGATTATGATTATTTTTGTATCTGTTGCTGATCTGCTTCAGTGTCATTTTTTTAATTTATTATTATTTTCAGATTGCTGTTTATTCATTCATCTTATCAATTTGTGTGTGTGATTATAATTATTTATTGTCATTGTTATTATAATTTATTACTGGTTTTTTCACGAAAAAAAACAGCTCTAATGTCCAGCTACCCCGATTTTACAGTGTTGTCTTATTGATTTGCGTTATGATCATGTAGTTTCATCTTATCTAATATCATTGTTATAAAATTGTTTCATTATTGTTCTTTTCAGATTGGTGGACCTGAATAGCTTCTCTCGCAGTGAGAGAAGACCGCCCAGCTGGTCCCCAATGTCCAGCTACCCTGATATGTACAGTGGTAAGTTTGCTCTTTTATCATCTCTGTGGAGCCAGAAGGGCGTTCACTCATAAACTTTAATACTGAGTCTTTCGGCTGAAAAAAAGATGTTATTACATTTCTTTTGATTTCATAAATTATTTCCCCTGTTGAATAGAACATCAATGTAGTCAAGACCCCACCCCCCCCCCATGCCAAGGCCAAAACTTGAAGTGTTTAAGGCCACGGCCAAGGCATAAATAAAGAAAAAATTGGAAAATGGAACACACAAATACAGAGGTTTATACCAGTAGTCATAATCAATTGATTTTCAATTCATAAATTTTTTAAGGGATAGATATTAATGATGATTAACAAAACAAAACAAAATGTGAAAAATGCTTAGCTGCTATTAAACCATTTTTAGTTTGGAGGAATGATTCTTGTTATTGTACCTTCAAACTAGTGCTTTAAACAATATCTTTTTGTTTTCTGAAAACATCTGCATAAATGCATTTAAGTGCACTTTCTTCCTAACTTTGGCTTTGGAGATTACTATTTTTTGCAGGGGAACGTTGGCAAACGTTGGCAGGTATCATAATATAATAATAATAGGCATTTTTATAGTGCCTTCTACAATGTATCTAGATAATTCTATTTCGAGGCGCACAAGAAAAATAGAAAGAATAAGAAAGTTTGGATGAGTGTCATATAGTGCCAAGTATAGGTATTGTTAAAAAAGATGAGATTTCAGCTAGGATTTAAAGATATCTAAGGAAGTTGTAATTCTCAAGTTCAATGGTAAATTTTTCCAAAGAGAAGGTGTTGCAGCTGAAAAGGCCCTTTCACCACAGGCTACTTGTGTCTTGGGGATCTTAAGAAGATGCTGGTGTGATGATCTTAGACTACGAGCTGGTGTATAAGGCATAACAAGGTCTTGTAAATAGTTTGGTGCCAATCCATTTACAGCCTTCCATGTGAGGAGAAGGATGTTGAATTCTATGCGATTGCGGATTGGCAAACCATTGCCATCTCCTGACTGTCCCTTTAAAAAGCATATAAGTAGATTGCACAAGTCCTTAGAGTTTAAATGATATCCTCAGTATGAGATTGTTAAGACTCATGCCATTGCTACACAACAATTATTGCTTTCTGCAAAGTACCATGACCTGCGCAATGCCAGGGGCAACTTAGCCTTGGAGTACAGACCCGTTGCACTGACAGCACTCTGTGATGAATGCAGAAATTGATTTGATAAGAGAGAAAGGATGAAAAATGGAGAAAGGATTGTGTATAGTTGGTTAGTTGGACAGATGAAATGATAGTTCATTATAAGTAATTACTTTTTAGAGGAGATGAAAGTTATGGTGCATAATAAAGTCCAAAATGCCAGTGTAAGCAATATAATTGGTGCTGGGGGTCATTGTATAGAATCTATATAATTTCAGCTTATTTCTGTATTGTATGGATAATATGATTTCTTATTGCAAATTACCACTGAGTTTTCTGTACTAAACATTGATAAATAATAATAATAATCATCCAAATTAGGGAAACAGTATGAATTTCAAGATCTTCTCTATTAAATTTCTGAAAAGCCAATTTAAGCATGAAGATAAATTACTTCCCCACAAGTGCACTGCATTCTTATCCCTACAGTAGTTTGGCAAATGGTTTTGTCAAATCATACTATAAAATGTATGGTAACTGTCATGCTGAAATGCAAAGTATCTTAAACATTTTGGTAATAAATGAACTGACATGAACTAAAATGAAATACTTTTCTGATTGAAAGGTAAAATGAAAGCACCGCACACTTAAACAATTAGTTCTAATTCACATCTTAGAGGCTGAGACCATAAAACAGGCCTGAAGTACAAGCCTATAGCGTGTTTTAGAACCCATCGTGTTATTCTTGGAAGCATGGTGCACCCGGCGTGCCGACTTTTTAGCGGCGTAATTCCAGCCAAATGTATTGCATTGCGTCAAGTCCACTTGATACAAATTGAGAATCGTGTAACAGAATGGGTCGGAATAGATTGCATTATCCTGTAGAATGTTGGGCATTAAAGATTGGATGATGAAGAGGATACACGCGCGGAAGTCATGGTACTTTGCGCTCCACATCAAAAGCGAGAGGATACGATTTCAAACGCAGAATGCGAACATGATAAACCGCGAGTCATCAGATGTATGATGTGGGTATGTGTGTTTTGGGGCTCTGCAGAGAAATCCATGAATGAATAAAAGAAATAAAGAATCCTACTTGTCATTTACAGTATGTTGTCTGTAATAAATGTAGGAGTCTAAAAGAGCAGCAACCAAACCAATTCATCTAATGTAAAGGGCAATCAATAATATGATTGCAGGGCCCTCAGGGAGAACAGTATGAATACTGATGAGGCTACCCTGAGTAAACAAGACATATTATCATTATTATTATTAAACTAAAATACTTAAAGGGCAATCCAACCCTTGTAATATTTTAATTTGAATGAAAGCATACATGTATAATCAGATAAACAGTATGGCGAAAGTTTGTAATAAATCGGACCCATAATAAGAAAGCTATCAATGTTTATACATGTATACGAGATCACTACAGCTATGCAAATCTCAAATTGGCAATTTTTTTCAGTGGATTGTGACGTAGTGATGTTTGTCGGGTTTTAAAAAAAAAATCACTAATTTCTGCTTTTCTCCCAAGTGCCTTCACTACTCAAAATATATTATTACAGGTCAGGTTATACATTTTTTGAAAAATTGAGATTTTAGTCATTTTGTGTGTTGGAACAAATGGGAAAGTTGTCCTCCACTGCATCAGAGAGACTTTACTGATTCAGCCAATTTTTTTTTTTTTTTTTTACAAAGTAGATAACATTAACATTGCTTGTTTTAATATGATTTTTCCTCATTTTTCTCCAGGTCCCCAGCAAATGCTTCAAAGATGCGTGATTGTACAGAAAGATGAGAAGGGATACGGGCTAACGGTTACCGGCGACAACCCCGTCTTTATCCAAAGTGTCAAAGATCGTAAGTCTAGCTTCATCTCAGCAGTTTTTTTTCTGTCAGAAGGGCATTGACTCTGAAGCTAAGTATATGAGTTAATGCCCTTCTGGCTCCAAAAAGATGAAATGATCAAAAGTGATACGGGGCTCACCACACTGAGGTGCCATAAATCTCAGTCCACATCCTTAAAAATCCTTAAAAAACAGTGTTTGCATCCTACTCCTCTCCTTCATTCGTTCATCTTCCCCTCTCCCATCTATTCATTCTTCATCTTCTTTTCCCTTCTCCTATCTCTCCTTCATCTCCCCCTCTCCCCTCTATTCATTCCTTCATCTTCTTTTCCCTTCTCCTATCTCTCCTTCATCTCCCCCTCTCCCCTCTATTCATTCCTTCATCTTCTTTTCCCTTCTCCTATCTCTCCTTCATCTCTTCCATCCCCCTCCAAAAAGATGACATGATGCAAAGTAATACAGGGCTTGATACTAACGGGTGCCTGGGACACATGAGTTCCTTAAATCTCTGCCCACATCCTTTTATAAAAACCAACAACATGCTAATCCAACCACAGTTGTGTTTGCATCCTACCTGTTACCCATTTAACACCTGGGTGGAGAGTAGCAATGTAGATAAAATGCCTTGTTCAAGGACGTAAGTGCAGCGCGCTGTGGCTCGAACCCACGACCTTCAAATTTCCAGCCAAGTAACTAAACCACTTGACTACTACTAGAAGCACCAATGAATAAAAAAAATAAAAATTGTCAGGTGTGTCCATGAAGAAGAAAAAGAAAAATAAAGAAACCCAGGTTTGAGTATAAGCCTGATTCCACTTACGATTCATGTATAATCCTTGAGGCTTTATTTTCATCTAGATACCCGAGAGGTAGAACGAAAAAAGAAAGAAGTAAAAGTTCCCAGGTTTTTTTCCTTTTGCATGAAACGGCTTGTAGTTTCCATAATCCTCTGTTGCCTCTGACATTTGGAGCCGTGAGCCAAACGGAGATTGCATCTGGAGTTGGATTTGCCTTGTGTCGCTTCATTCCTCTTATGCAGTCTTCCCATGAATACCAATTATATTCTTGAAAATCCACCAGAAATATCAAAGGTAGTTTCCAATCGAGGGGCAGCGATCTGCCTCCAGAAGAAGAAGAAGATACAGATTGGAGTTGGCAGGATGTAGGAATAAGTGTCTCATTTTACATCCTCTGTTTGCGTCATCCGGTTTGCATTGTTAGATAATGTCTAGTTGGGAGCTGTTTTGGTGGATGAAATTTGGGGCATGCATGCAACCCTAGTCCTTGAAACATTAAACCCCCCACTGCACTACTTATAGCTACTTGCGCCCTCTACATGGCAAACAATGCCTAATCAGTGCCTGTTTGTCCCCTATTTTCTCCTTTTTTTGTTTGTTAATTGAGAGCTTATTTGATGAGATAACCTCTTGTGAGTGACCTTGCAGGGAGGTCTAATCCCCCCTGGCTAAGCTAGTGCAGACAGGCTTTAAAGGTCCTACACTGTCGCCTTAGGGACAGGTACAAATGCAGGGCAGTGATATAAAAAGGGTGTGTTCAGATAACTCTGTTTTGTTTTCTTCAGAAATACGCTGCGTACAAGGGAGGAGAACAAAGTCCTTGAAACAATAAAGGTCCTAAACTGTCACCTTGGGGACAGGTACAAATGCAGGCCAGTTGTATGAAAGGTGTGTTTGATAAATCTGTTTACACTGTTGTTGTTTTCTCTCCTCAGATGGAGCAGCATACAAGGCAGGAGTACAGACAGGGGATAGGATAATCAAGGTAAGTCTTAACCCATTGCTTACCGCAACCCGATGGTTCTTATATTAAAGGAATAGTTGAGTGTTGGTCAATACTCACATTAGCGAACGAAACTATGATCTAAACATAAAAAACATACAATACATGTCTAAGAATGCATCATTGAAGATATAAATCCGAAATATTACATTAGAGTGAATTTATATGCAAAAAACCTGTTCGACTGCAAATGATTTTATTTATCAAAAATTTTACTTTCGAGGCGTGTTCAGTGTAATTGTATAGCGCCACCTCTCGGTCAAGCGGCAGCACACCGTGAATTTTCGCCAAGACGACGATCGGATATGGGCGTGCGAGTAATATCCGAACCATGTCTATAGCGCGCTGACTGATTTATATTGTACACATTATGGTATGCGAGGCCTGCACATAATTGCATGGTCTGTGGTACTGGTAGCGCTATTGTTTTTGAGCGCGATATGCGAATACTGTATGTGTATGTAGTGCGAGTACGCTCGACCTAGTAGTAGTGTATGTGTATGTATTGTACGTCGTATGACCAGGGACTTGTTAGTTATCCCAAGTCCCTGGTATGACCAAGGAGTTACTACACACTCCTTGGTATGACCCAGTTGATTACTTCTACAGTGTAAAGAAAGTGGCTTACTCTATCTATCAACCAATATGTGAGACAACGCAAGGGCAATTTTGTATTTCGTTTGTAGGAACAAAGCTGTGGAATGATCAGATGAAATTAGATTAAAAACATCGAGGTTATCTGTCCACCTACCTTCTATGTAAATGACGTGGGCCTTCGTTTTTCCTTTTATATTACTTGTCTTCCTTTTATAATATGTGAAGAGTTTCATTCCAAAAGGAGCCAAATCCACTTTGGGTACTTCTGAGTAAATTGCCTTTTTTATTTCTCCACTTTCCCTTTAGCCATGTATACCTTCATGTTGTTATATATGTTAAAGGTGTCACCCTGCATGGACCTGATTATCTGCCAATAATGATAAGAAAAAATCTTCCCTTCGGCTTTTCTGATTTTTACTAAATTTTTTGATTTTTTATTTTCGTGGATTTAGCTCCTTTTGGAATGAAACATGTTATTGTACCTAAAAAATAAAAAATAAATCATATTTTCTCAATAAAGTCACTGAAATTTTATTCAAATTTAGCAGCAAACCTTTCCTTTTAAATAATAATAGTGAAATCACACATAAATATAACCTTTCGAAAAGAAAGTAAACAACATTATTACAGTTTCATTCCAAAAGGAGCTAAATCCATTCAATTCCAAAAGAAGCTAAATCCATGTTTCATTCAAAAAGGAATTACTAAATCCACATTTTTTTTTGGCACATATCGCACGACAACCAAATGCCCTAAGATGTTGATACCCACTTTGATAGAAAAATAAGGTTTTACAAAATGGAAAAATACTAGAAGAGAAAAGGTAAGAAAGAGTAAAGACGGATTGAGGACGGTAAACCCCAAACAAGAGACTCAAAAGATCTACCCCAGAATCCTCTCACCGGCACCAGAGTTGCCTAGGCCAATGATGGCCGAGAAGATTGCGCAATGTACCGCGCCGGTCTGGCAGGAAGGTGCCAATTGCGGTGAGGGGTTTTCATGGACCAGTAGATCTGAGATTATATTATCCAAAAAAAAGAGATGAATATGAATTGACAAATAGTACCAAAAATAGAAGAAAAAAAAGAAATAAAGTGAAAGGCGTAAATATTCTAAAAAAGAATGAAACGCCGATAATACCAAACAACAACAACAACACAAAATCTAAAAATTTGATAGAAATCAGAAATAACTGGTGGATTTTTTGTCTTATCATATGTTATAGGTCCAGAGCGACACCTTTAACATATATAACAACATGAAGGTACATGGCTAAAGGGAAAGTGGAGAAATAAAAAGAAATAAATTAAACAAAATATTAAAAATTGTTGTATCAGTATACTATAATGAATAACAGTAGTGAATTAATTTAACATCTTACTTGATTCATACTTGTCCACAATGCAGTGTTTTTCAGTATTCTTATTTTGGTACTGCATGCAATTGTAAAGTTTAAAAAAAAAAGTGATTGTAACTTCTTGTAAATAAGTTGTGTTCTACAGTGCCTGTGTATTGCATGACCTACGTCAGTACGTGATAACTTGTAAATGTGTAAAGACATAAGATTTTAATATAATTATAGTAATGCTAAAATGAAGATACATAACATATTTTTATGGTGTACATTGAAAGCTTTATTCGGCCATAACTAACAGTTAAATTTACACAACATTATTGAGATGAATACAAATTATACTTGCTGTACTGAAGGCAATATTTAAACGTGATGTTGATTCCAACCATTGCATACAAACAGATCATGTGTATTAAAAAAGGCACATTTTTATTTAGCATCTATCGCTATGACAACTTTAACCGTCGTCATTAAGAAGGAGCAATATACTTTATTTGTATACCACCATGTCTTGTTACTTATTAGTTACTGCTTATTTATATACATCTTATCTTGTGTCTTTCATAAAAACTTGACATACTCTATAGGCAATGTGTAGATAAGTTTACCAAAGAAAAGTATCTATAACAGTAATGTTTCTACGCGCTTGACAAATATACTATTACCCCGGTCATTTGATTCAGTGCTTGCCCGCACACAATGTTTTGACTAGTACGTGATCATACAAATTTTGCCGAGAAACTGCCTACTAATTGATATATTTGGTAAATTATTATATCTATTTGGACTTGATAGATATAACGCATGTGTCACGCACTTGTGCGTAGTCCCATATACATCTTTCTGTGTACAGTGCTTGTAACTTTACCAAGACTGGGCCAATTTTTTTATCATTTCGATGATTCTAGAACCTTGCAGTACACACCAAGACTTATATGCTAGATGATCAACCTTTTCTGATCGATTCCACAACAATCCTTTCACAATGCAGTCGCATGACCATAACTGGTTTTATCTTTTAAGTTTCACATCTTACTTTATATATAAATGCTTTAAAAATTGTCTGAGTGATTCTTTTCCTTAATGTGTACGAGTATACATGTATACGTACTCCATATCGATCTCAAATCCTGAATCATATCAGTTTCAGCACAAAATTAAGTATAGTTAGGTACATATATGTCTTTCATCTTCCCTAATGCTCGACTATGAATATCACCTCAAGTGATTAACATCCAACATAAGGTTTTTCAAAAAAATAGCACAGACATTTCAAAACTGGTCATGTCCTATACGCACACAAAAGACAATTCTGCGTTGTGTGTACTGAGTTTCATATGAATCGATCAAACTACTTCCAATAGTTTGCTCACATACTTATTTTACACACTGCACATGCATTGAGTTTTATACTGTTATTATAATGCCTCATCAAAGATACCAAAACTATAAAATTGCTAAAACTTGGAAAGAATATGCTCCACAAGATTATTAAAACAAAATTGTATTCTTTGTGCAAAGCTTGGTTACCATGGAGGTACCTTAACAGACAGACACAACAAATGTGTCTTGCACACCCTCGGGTCAATCGGTATACCAAGTTTTATTACAATTTGCAAAAAAATTTGACCCAGTTTTTTACAATAGACCAACAGAAAGACTCGCCTGCCCAACTGTATCCTTATTCCTTTATACACCCTTTCAAACTACAAAGTAGTTACAGGCAGCATATCTCTTGATGGTATAACCTTGAACCGCAATACTTTGGCGTTGAGCTGATTCACGTTCATTGATTCAAATGATGCATGAAACCAACTGTTTTGCTGTCTTGTGATCATTTCTCTTTTTCGCTTGCATTATTTTAGTCACATTGATTGCATTAAACAAAAAATGAAGACTATTTACAATAAGATATTCTACAAATCTTTCTTCTGTCCATGTTGATTTTCAACAGGTTCCGAAGTATAGTCTTTTTCATGATCGACTGTCACCTCAGTTACATGCACAGTCACTAAAACCAAACACATTGTTGACTCATGGTTTGACCTCTTGGCTGTAAATTTTATAATTACTACCGTAACTTCTTCAAGGAATATAGGTTGCCAAATAGATACAAATTGAAATATCCACCATTTCCACATGAGCAAGCACTGATTTTATCACAAATTATGAATTGTATAAATCACATAGAGCTTTTATACACTGATGTCACAATTTGTCTTTTATATTCCTACATTTCTTCCATTTGTAAACTTGCCAACCTCTTATTGTAATACAATATACAAGTGCCAAGCATGGTGGCTAATCTAGCAACAATAACAATTTATTTCTGGTACATGTATATCATGTGTTATGTGATTTTTTTTCTCCAGATAACCACATCCCCATGATCCCCAGGGACACTCTAGTATCAAGTTTGGTGGTATTTTGTCAAAGGGTCTCTGACATATCAAGAATACATGCTCGTAATGCTAAGCCATGCAATCTTTCACCTCCGGACCACAAAATCATTAGCAACCAAATGAGTCCAAAATGTTAAGTTCCAACCAATCCTCAAGATAGCCTAAAAACATGCCACATGGACAAATTAAATCGAGGCGATTAAGAGTCTTGCATGCAATCATGCAACAATGAACCTCATTTGACCTTTGACCTACTTATGTGACCTTCAACTCCAGAATATCATGGAGGCCAATAAAGGGCATCTACCAATCAAGTATGGTTACAAACAGATGCAGGGTTGGAAAGTTAGCAACCCTAATTGATTTTTGCAGGTAAGATTTCACATTAGACTTCATTCAAATTTGTGTACAGTCACGGAGGATGGACGGAAGGACGCCATTTGGATCCCTTAGTCTCTGCTCGAAAAAAAGCAGTTCTCAAGTCAGACAATCCCAAATGTTCACTACAGAGGATTACATGGATTTCTCTAATCGGCCTAGTCTCTTGGCTAGGATCACATCAACTTGTGGTGGAGGAAATGGTGCAAGCCGGGGCCTTGTGTGTCTAGGGTCATCAGGGAGCAGAACAGCCTTCGAGAACAGTGGTCCTTGGTCCTGTTCTCTGCGTTCCAGTATCG